CGCGAGGAGCACCCCCCCCCTGGACGGCTACGTTCCCCCCCCGGCGCGGGGGCCCCGGGGGCGGCGGAGCAAGCAACCGGGCGGCGCTGCGGGGTCCGCGTCTCTTCTTGTCACGCTCCGGTCCCCCCCTCTCCCGCGCTTGGCTTTGCCGGAGCGTGAGGGGCAGCCAACGCTGAGGCTCTGTTAAATCCAGGCGTAGGTTCAACCCGGACTTGCTAGAAAGGCCAGATTGACCTGGCACATCGGATTAGCACTCTCTTTCTCTCCCACCCGCGCCCCCCATACGAGGCGGTTCGCCGATCCGGAGCTTGCAAACTCCGAAGTAAATCCCGCCGAGTTCAGCGGGATGCGTTGTTGTGTGTTTGAGCTCCCTCATCTCTCTAGATTTGCTTTTTTCGGACTAAAGGCGACATTGATTTCGGGGGCGGGGGTCGGGCGGGGCGGAGGAGTCTCCAAAGAAGCGCCTATCCGCCTCGGTTCTTCCGAAAGATGGACAGCTTTGACAAAGGCATTTCCTCGCTAGTGATATATAGCATCGCAGTGTCAGGGCGATAACAAACTTCTTCATTGCTGTGGCGTTGACTCTAATGGCAGGGATGTTCCGGTCTTTCAAGAGGCTGCTTGAAGCTCTGCTTCTCCAACCATGCGCTCCCCATACGAGGTGGTGGTCTTCAAATCCTTTTCCCATTTGGAGAGCACCGGCTGGAGCGTTCCCTTGTGGACCGCTGCAGGGATGCGACCGCCAAGGCGTAGGCCAATCCTGCGCGTCCGAAAACACTTGAGCCCACCCGCCACCTCGCACTCCTGGAATCCTCCCGCACGGCCGTGTCCGGCCTCCGTGATGTGAATTTCCGACAGCTTCCCAAAGGGTGTCGCTTTCTTCGGGCAGCAATTTCCCTCCCCCAAATGGCAGCGCCTGGACGTGGAAAATTAAGGAGACAACCAAGAAAGTGATCTTGGCAGTAGAAACTTCTCTCTTATAAAACGATAGACACACACACCCCATCAACGTTGTTGCCGCCACTACTACAACTATGATTACAATAACGACTTTTTTCAATTATCGTCTGTTTACGGCCTTATGAATTAGGACATATTCAACATCAAGGAGGCTCGCAACACAGATGTTATGTGTGGGGTGTAGTGAGTGGGGTATAGGAAGAGGTACGTCCACACACATCAGTCCTAACATACACATGCAGATCAGGCGGAGGGGGTCGTTCAAGTCCGAATAGATGGGTTAAAATACGTCCCCCTTTCAGTCTCGAGATCAGTTCTATGGGAATCACACGGAAGGGCTGAAAACTAGCCACAAATGAGCGAGATGGTTCTTCTGTCTGCAGGGGGGTCATGAATTTTCTTTCTGTCCATGTATCTACCCAGAGGCTTTTTGAAACGGGCCAACAATGCAGGGGATCCCACTGCAAGAAAAGGATATTTCTAACCCTGTGGCCGCATGTTTCTTTGAGAAGAAGTTCCTCTCGAATCAATTCATCTACTTCAGGAATTCCTTTGGTGCCTGTCTTGGATTGGGCTGCCCACCTCCCCCTCTCTCTCCAGTGGTCTCCTCCTCCCACCACTGGCCCGAAGCCTGTATTGCTCCTGATGAGCTGTTTCTGTCTTTTTTCTCTCTCTGGTATTAGAAT